GAAGGAGATCTCCCTATTTGCCTGGAGATGGCTCGAGTACTGAGCCCACCTTCATGACGAGCCTTCTCATCGGAGGAAAGCAGGTGACCACGAGCCATGTTGACCGTCAAGTTTAGAAATGCATTTGCTACACTTGCTTACCTTTAAAAGTATCTTCAAACACGAAATTTCCTCTCCTCCATGAATAATTGTTCACTTTCTTAGGGTGATCTTATAATTATGAAACGGTGCAAAAACCGATAAACTGTTCTAAAAAAGTTCAGAAAAATGCAGCTGCTTCTAAAAAACGGATACCCAGGTTATTCGTGCTGGGAATCTGTTCATGTTGCTAGAAAAAATCCTTAATGATTGCTCTTTTTGAAAGTGCAAAAATTGAGGGTGACTTTATAATTATGAAACGCACTGTATATGCAGCTGCAGACGGTTCGGAATTTCCCTTTCATGCTCGGGAAAAGTAGCTGAGGGTTACAAAGCAGTTCAAAAAGTCCTAGCTCTTCGGCGTAAATCAGTGTCGTCTCGAGGAAACGCCCCGCATATGCTTTCCTTTCAGAGTCGTAGGGACGTATTGATTGTGTATGTGGCTATATGATTACCACCCCTGCCCCTATGTGCAAGTGAATAGAAGCAAAATTCTGAAAAATCCGGCGGATTCTGTTGCAAACCAGTTCAGAGCCACAACAATGGCTACAGTCTTCGGCGCAGATCGCATCTGTAGATATAGATCGTTCTGCACATAGTCTTCACTAGAAGGTGGCCTACAGAGCGCTCCACGAAGAAGTGTGTTATCATTCCTCTGGGGAGAGACAAGGTACGGGAGAACGACAAGTGGCCGCGTTGCAGCACGAGGTGCAAAAGAATTATGAACTGGAAGTTCCTTGGGTCTTCACTTCCGCTGTGATCAACTGTTCAGCACCGGCTTAGTTTGGAAAGCTGGATCTGGATGGCTGGTCAGAATCCGTCCAACAAGTCACAAATGCGGTAGAAAGCAGAAAGAAAACTTAATCCCGTCAGTTGCTAATTAGATCCACATAGATCGTGTTAGTGTCCTGTGCGTAAAATACGCCCCAGTTTCGGTTCACACCTCTTATGGATCTTTGGAGGGCAATCTTCGAGTAAAGAGTAGAGTCCGCGCTGTGTCGCAGAGATCGACACTCAGTTCCACTCCGTTAGAGCCTCTTGGAATACATATTGTAAGGTGACACGGTAACTAAAAGCCAGGTTCGCCATCAGGTCAATACCCGGATCGAAGCCTAACCTGTCCCATAAGCTCCCCTTACCTTTGGGTACCCGGCCTGTAGGAAAGGTTAGGAATTCTGGACCAATGCAGGTTCGGCTGGCCTTTCACGGGTTCCAATGTATAGGACAGGCATTTGAAGCCGTTAGTTGTTTCAATCAGCAGACGAATCTGTGACGAAGCTTACAAAACCCGATGTATGCCGGATGTATCACTTTTCCCTATCTTACTCTCCTTATTAGAACAGGGCCCAAATTATATCCCCGTAAGTCTTTGTCTAGTAGTATCCCTACTTTTTACCGCCGCTTACTTTTTAATCTTTGTTACTCTAGAGTGCAGCAAGAATAACACCGAAAGGTTAAGTTTAACGTTCCGATTTTATTTCCTAAACAGCCAGCTGATGTCTGCCGTACTGGACCAGGTTTCTAATAGCGATTTAATTGCAACGAAATGAGCGAAAAACCCATCAAAATCAGGGATCACCGAGCGTGTTGACTGAATTCCACTGTCCGCCCACAATCCACAAAAAAAGTGCGAATTCTCCCCATAACGAAATGAACGACTGGGCTAAACTAGCCAAAAAATGAACATTTTTGAACTCTTAATCCTCAACTTTGTCTTTTCTGTGAAAAGGGATCACACTTGCTGAAACTAGCTTGGAAGGAGAGCCTATGATCCTGGCTTGATTCCTGAGACCTGTTTTCACGGTTAATGCCTAACTCTGCTCATAGGGATCCACTTATCCAAGGATCACTTATGAGAGACCACTTTGAAACGATTGAAGGGGCTTGTTGATCTCGTGCAAGCCTCTTTGTTTCGTTTGGCTTGGCTAGTTTTGGTCATTGAAAGCCGGATGAGGCCTAATGAAGATGAAGTCAACCGGAGAACAACAAAAGCGGTCTCATTGGCGGCTTTGGAACTGCGATTAAGAAGCCGACCGACTAAGATATTGTTTTGAGGAGTTCTTGAGGGAGAAGAACCTCTCTAGACATGAAGGTAACCCTTGGGAGGGAGGGAGACGTGTTAGTACCACTCCAGCTCATTCCATTCATCTTTGAGGCCGAGTCTCTTTGAAAAAAGGTAGTCCCTTTTAAAAACGGAGTAATTCTTTGCTACCAATCATGATGACTGTATAAATATTGGCTTAAAAATTTGTCCGTTTTTTGAAATTAAATCAATCGGCGTTGACTTCTCCCTTACTGTTTACAGTGCAATTATTACAGTTTCGCTGTCGATAGTTCCTTGTCAGTGACTGATGACTTTCCCAAGCCTACTGACTTTTGGGCAAACCACAAGGGGCAAAAAACAATGGAACAAAGCTGGCAAATAAACAACAAATTGACAAATAGGTTCCACTGTGAGCAGAGGCATTCTTTGAGTCCCCCGTCAAACTGAAAAAAAAAGTTTGATATTTTCCATTTTCAGGGTCCAAGAAGAGAGTGCGAATCGAATTGCGGTTCTCCAGAGGAGTGGCAGAAACCGTCATGGCAAGACCGGACATATGTAGAATGTCCCGAACCGAAACCTCCAGAAAGTAATTCACCTCCGGATCTTGAAGCTGACACCAATAATCAGGTATCACCTACACCCATTACCTTTAGATTACAAAGAATTTGTACTTGAAATAGGTTTACGGCAGTACCTTATACCTAACCCTCCGAATCTGCTACAGCACATGACAGAGAGAGGATTTTTTTTAAGAANTACTATATCACTGTTTTTCGGCGGAGGTGGTGCAGTGGCAAGCGGCGCACTATCACACGCGCATGATTATTGGTTCAAATCCCCGATCGATATCCGCCTAAACCAACCAAGCCTTCTATCCCTCCGTGGTTGTCTAAGTGGAACGGCTCGTCTGGGAGGATAAAAGCACGATTCGTACACCGGCCGGCCCCCGCAAGTCATTGTATAGGCCACCTACGCAATCATTGCGGCACTATGTTTCTGATAGGAAGTAGAATGCGGGGCGCATCCCAACTCCTTCTCCTTCATTATATTTATCATCATATATTATCAGCTAATGCAATGATAGAATTCGATGCAATTCATGATAGCTGGTGAAAAGATTTTTATTATTAGTTATTATATTATTTATGTATATATTATATACATTAAATCATTACTAATATCGACCACTATACTTTCACACTATCAATATTGCATCGGTGACCTTCGTATTACGCTATTTTTCTTATTACTATATCTATTATGTTTTTTATTATTTATTTATTCCAAATTCGTCCATTCAGATGTTGGTCTTCGTCCGACAGCGGAAGGCGTCTAGACGGCGACGAAAACGTTTAGTTTCCGGGCGACTGTTCCATAAATGGAGTGGGGAAGATATGGACAGGTGGGAGTTCGTTTATTACCACTTCAATTCATCTTTTCAGGCAAAGTGACGAATGATTGACGGAAAAGTAAATATCAACTGATGCATAATGATGAATAAAAAACACAAATGACGTGTAAAAAATCACAAATGACATCTAAAAATAAGTTTCAATTAAGAAATAATAACATCAGTGCAGATTCCCTGTAGGATAGACAGTCATCAGTGGGGTTTCAGATACAATAATCAAGTTGCTGATCGTCCCACAACCCCGCTCTCTTCCAAGTTTGATAGTGCAAGGGCCCTAATTTCTACGAGGTCTTACTGGAAAAACACCCTCATTAAAACAGTATTAGCTCCCCTTCTCAATGCCAAAGATCGGCTAAGGGCCTAGCGACTCGGAGAATTCGAAAGCTGCTTGCAGTCATCGAATTCCAATCTTTCTGAACTAAATTTCTGGGTATAAATTAATGCAGCTGTTGAAACCGCCAGAATTTTCCAACTACTGTGGCAAAGGAAAGGTTCGGGAGAATGTAGGCGTTTTTGAAAATTTCCTGGTCTCCAAAATTTTACTACTGCACATGGAACTCTTTTTTTTCCGTCCTTGAAGAGATCCCTAAGTTCCGGTTCCA